GTTGATCTTTCATCCTCCTCCTACGTTGTTGTACTCGAGATAGTTTGGCAGATTGAGATGAATCACATGTTTGAGAAGCCTGAGCTGCTTGAGATGGTTGGGATTTAGATGCTTGAGCTGCTTCAGATGGTTGGGATTGAAAAGCATTAGCTGCTTGTGATGGTTGGGATTGAGAAGCCTGCGGTGGTTGAGATTGTTGGGATTGAGAAGCCTCGGCTACCTCAGATGCCTGGGATTGAGAAGGTCCTTGGGAAGCACTTGTTTGTCTCCTTTGCATTAGTTGCATACTTTGTTGTCCGCTACTTTGGTCTCCACCATCTCTCCTTCTTACCTAAAACAAATAATAATTAGGTAGGCATGATATGAAAATTTGAATGGTGAAAACATAGTTGAAACCGTGGCACTTACTGGAAGTTTTTCCTTGGCAACATTCCTCTTCCTAGTAGGCTTTATGTTGGGATTTCTAGGTTCCTAATAAGCAAAGTCATCAAGTCAGAAACCAAATCAAATATATTTAAATGTAAAGCAATTTTGGATAATGACACATACCTTACAACCAATTCGATTATGCCCTTCTCCACCGCAATTGCCACATTTTAAAGGGATGCCATACCTAGGAAGCTTATATGGATTAGCAGGCTGTTTAGGCTCATCAAAAGCTTGTTTTCTTGTCTTCTTAGGCCTACTAGGCTGCTTGTGGTATTTTGGAGGGAGTAATGGAGCTAAATTAATCTTCATCCACTGATCTTGGCTAGTCATAGGCATAATCATTGGTTCATAGGCTCTCAAATAAGCCTCTTTCTTGTACACTGCATCACAAAAGTCCTCTGCATTCCCATGAAACCAACTTATTGTAGCACAAGCATGCAAACATGGTTCAAATCCCAAGCACGGCATGAACAAGAGTGGGCATTCAAATCAACAGCAAAATTGCGGCCACTATGGTGCATCACTTCAAACCTATTCTGTCCAGCAGCCTTAGGAATGCACCATTGAGCTTTTCCTTTGTTTTTCTCTAATATTTTGTCTAATTCTTGGCCCAACTTGTCCATGCCATTTCTCACATAAAACCCTTCTTCCAGCCATCAACAACATTATATACAACCGAATTCTTTCTAGCATAGTCAAA